TTTTTCTTTTTTTTTGGTAGAGTTCTGGTAAAGTTGATTAACATATCATACAGCATGGTACCATACAATGCGGGTACATGGAGCCCTGATATTGGCAGATAGCATTTTCAGTGGAGTTTACCATAACATATTATCAGACAGTATGACGCAAAATCATACCTGTGCGTAGAGCCTTGATTTTGGCAGATGACGACCCTAAACCCTAAACCCTAAACCCTAAACTCTAAACCCTAAGCCCTAAACCCTAAACCCTAAACCCAATGTTCATGCTGCCAGGAGCTGTGCGAAGAGGCTACAGTCGAGGTGTCCCGAGGGCCCAGGCAGGTCTGCTTGAACCTCACATTTTCCAGTGAGTAATGGGCATTTTGGGGAGATTTGGGGTTGCCCCAGGTTTAGGGTTTGGGGTAAAGGGTTTAGGGGTTTAGGGTTTAGAGAATCGAATGTCAAACCAACGGTAAATAACTAGGAAACTGAGCTTATATAGGGACGCATCTTACGTATGTAGGGTTCATGATTGGTAGTACTGGGGAATCAAATGAACAAGCAAATGCCAAAGAAAGAAACAGGGTTCTTAGAGGGTTTTGCGGTCAGTGGATTTGGGGTGTCTGTAATAACAGGCTTTTGGTTCAAATCACCAGGAACGTATGTGGTTCTACATCATGAACTGGAGGCAGACATGACTAGAGAGGGTTTTCAAAAGATAAGTGCCCATTTGCTCTCTACACGAAGAACTATCGTAGATTGGGGTCTGTACTGGGGCCACCTGCTTATGCAAACCTTCATGGGGACCTAATTGAAAGCCTAACCCTAAACTCCAATACTCTAAATCCTAAACACTAAACCCCTAAACCCTAAATCCTAAACCCCAAACCAACGACCAGTCCCAGGTGCTCGTGAGGGAACCTACAGTTTCCTTTTTTCCCCAGGGGTGCCTTTTCTGTTCCATAGGGTTATTTAAGGGTATGTAGGGACGTGTAGGGTTTAGAATTTAGGCTTTCCCAAAATTAGGGGTATGTGTTTTGGGGGGACTCCCAAAACTACATAGAGAGTCAGAATCAAGGTCTCCTGCAAGAAGGGCTCCCATTACAGGAGGGCTCCTATTTTCCCTGGAACCCTAAACTAAATCCCAATCCCTAGTCTAAGCCTTCATCCCTAAACTTGAAACCCTGCTACCTTTTGGACTTCCCTTCGAGCTCTATAATGCCGAAACCCGAAACTCCAATCCCTTGATCCTACACCCTGCTCCCAAAGGTGAGCTATCGTCTCAACTCCTAGCATCCCCCTCAATAACCCTTAAAATATGCCGGCTCATGCCACGTTGAGGCTGGCTCTGGTGCCAGAAGTGGGAGCCACAACTGGGCGCATGCAGGCTCCGGCTTGGGGTTCAAGGTTTTATGGGTATATAGGGGGTATACAAGGATATATAGGGGATATATATTGGGATAATGGAAAAGAAAATGGAAACTACAATTTAGGATTTGGGGTTTAGGGCTTAGGGCTTATGCTTTAGTTTCAGGGCCCACAATGATGAAAGCTCAACTTCTGAGATGGCTCTTACGCTGAATTGTCTTATCGGTCCTTAGTATGGAAAAAGGGAATACGATCCTCATATCACCTAAATATTTACTGTATTCCCTTATTACCTACTACCCCCCATCAAGTTTTCTCGCTAAAGATTGCGAGATAGCCGCCCGAAGAGTGCTGTTCTGAATTTGCCGCCACGCATACACATCCGGACTCTTTTGGAAACCTCCTGAAAAAGCCCCTCCGCCAAGCAACCAAAACTACCCGCAAAAGCATTAGCGTTTACTTACTGGTTCTTAGTCTAGAATGAGGGAATATAATCCCTGTATAGTCCCCGTATACTATATTCCCTGGCTCCCTACTAAACACCAGTACGTTTAGGGTTTAGAATTTAAGGAGAGAACCCCAGAACCCCAAGCCGTAAACCCTAAACCCCAAACCCCAAACACTAAACCCGAAACCCTAAACCCTAAACCGGGCAGGCAGCTGACCTGTCGACCCTGCTTCTGCTGCCGACGGCGGCGGCAATGACGTCCTTGGGCGCTGGCCAGATCCTGGGAGTAGGGGACCCTTAAAGGGTTTAGGGTTTAGGGCTTAAAGCTTAGGGCTTAGAGCTTAGCGTTTTTAGTTGAGGGTTTAGGGCTTAGGGTTTAGGGCTTAGGGTAAAAACTCTTTATAGGAGGTTATGTAGGGGATCAGATAGGGGAGAATTGTAGGGTTACTAAGTGGGATACTAGGAGTTAGACTCTAGCCTACACGGGTTTCTTCACAGGGATTTTAGGAGAAGACAGGGATATATAATAGTACCCCATTAGTAGACTATCCTAGAGAAGGACCAAGGGAAGGTGGAATGGAAACCTTAAGCCCCTTCAAGGGGACTAAGGGGACTTAGAGTCCAGGAATTCGAGTGCAGGGTCTACGTAGAGACCGTTTCTCAAGAAAGTAACGACACCCTAGGGACCCCCAGGACAAACGGGGACCCCAGGGGAACCCCAAACCTAAAACCTTAAACCCTAAGCCCTAGACCCAAAACCCAGAACCCTAACGCTTAAATCCAAAACTCTAATTCCTAAACCCTTAAACCCTAAACTCTAAACCCTAAACCCAAAATCTACTTCTGAGCAGGCCTGGATGGGCCCTCGCTGCGCCATTTCCAGGCTGGCTTGGGCTGCCTCCAGGCGCCCAGCCTTATATAGGGGTTATGGAAACAGGGTCTAGAGTTTAGGGTATTATAAGGGTTATGGGAACTACTATAGTATTGTAGGGGTTATATATATTATATATATATACATATAGGGGTTCTATTATATAGGGATAATGCTTGCTAGTACGGAATGTAGGGATAATGGAAAAGAAAATGGAAACTACAGGGATCATAAAGGGATTACAGGGTATATATTGGGGTTCTGTAGGGATAATGGAAAAGAAAAAGGAAGCTACTGTTTCGGATTCAGGGCTATGGTTTAGGGGTGTAATTAGGGTTTAGGTTGGGGAAGGGAGGAATGGATCCCTGTAGTAGTCGCATAGCCGCAATAGCGTGGTAGTTTCCAATTTCTTTTCCATTCCTTCGTTCCCTGTGTAGAACCAGCAGGCAGCAGGGGGACTGGGGGTAAGGGGTAGGAGTTTAAGGTGGTTAGTTACCTGAAGAGCCAGGGGATCGTCCCACGGCTAAGAGTACCAGCCTCCATTTCTTGGTGGCTTAGCAAGGCAGTCGGGTGTAGGTTTGGGATTTGCGATGAACGCTTGTTTTAGGCCTAGTGCTGGGGCTTGAGGGAATTAGGGTTTAGGGTTCGGGATTTGGTTCTTTGGGCTTAGGGTTTTGGGATTTCAGTTTGGGGTTTTGGATTAGTTGAGGTTTCTGCATTTTTTCTGTTTCTACTGGGGATGATGTTTCCTTTATTGTGAGAGACTTCATCCTTGGGTTCTGTAGGAATTTGCACAGCCTGCTAACTTCTTTTCATCGAGAGGTCTAGGTACCAGAGGTCTAGGTACCGTCATTGCGATGGTGTGATCCGCCTGCCAAAAAGAGGTTCAACAAGGGCCTCTAACAGTTTGACATGTGGCGCAGGAATTAATCTGTAGCTGCTGTTGAGCAAGAGCCACGGGTGATGTTGCAAACTAGATTGAATTCCAGCTCCCAGTCTGATGGCCCTACATCTCTTTTCCCAATCTGCTGCAAGGACCTGTCGGCATCCATGCAGGAAGCACTGAAGCGGGAGAGCGTGCAGACTTGAAAAAGACTCTGCATGCAGTGGGCAGAGAGTCGCACATTGTTTTGAAACCTTGTTCTTGCTGTCAATGTCAGGGCTTGTATCATATGACGCAGAAGAAAAGTGTTCTTCAATCTGTTGAGATTAATGCGACACTGGTAAGTTGTAAGGCTGCTAGCTGTCAAAGCTGCCGTTCAGGATGAGCTAGACGATGAGTAGTGCTACTAGTGTGTCCTGGCTACATTTGGACTATCTTTTTGCTGGTGGTGGTGCTGGTGGTGCTGGTGGTGCTGATGGTGGTGGTGGTGGTGGTGGTGGTGGTGGTGGTGGTGGTGGTGGCGGCGGCGGTGTTGGTGGTGCTGGCGGTGGGGCTGGTGCTGGGGCTGGGGCTGGGGTCGGTGCTGGTGCTGTTGTTGCTGCTCTTGCTGCTCTGCTGCGCCAGCACCATCGCCGCCACCGCCACTGCCAACACCACCTTCAGCGACCACCACAGCAATTTGACGACCGGGGGACAACGACTACCAATACCACTACTGCCGCTACGCTGCTGCTGCCACTGCCATTGCCCTACTGCTGCTGCTCCTGCTGCTGCTGCTGCTGCTGCTGCTGCTGCTGCTACGACGATGATTGCTGTTGCGGCGCGGCATTGAGGATGACGACCATGCGCTTGATGGACCCACGTGGTCTTGTCATGGTTTGTATGACTACGACCTGCTTCGGGGAGCTGTGGCTCAACAGGCTCTGCCATAGGCTGAGGCTGCACTTCCAGCTCGGTCTGCCGTGCCACCAAGCCAACTGCCGTTGCAAGGCCTTCTGATTTCGTGTTAAGTTACTTCTTTCAGGTTTCTATGGGGCACGTGAGGGGACGCTTCTGTGCTTGGGAGGCCCTTGAAAACATCCTCGTTATAGTGTGCTGGATGGTCCATTGCGGGAGCCCTGTATGCTATCTTTCTCCGTGCCCAACCCTCAGCTCAAGGCCCACATTGCCTTCAGTAGCTGGAGAATCCCGGAAAGCCCGACAGAATCCCAAACCTCTATAGTCTCCCTTAAGTAGATAGAATGTGGCTTTGGGTATATTATAATAAGATCCGCATATACCCCATATTCTATCTACTTAAGGGGGACTGTAAACTCCCTAAACCTAAAACCCTAAATACCCCATACTCTATCTACTTAAGGGGGACTATAAACTCCCTAAACCTTAAAACCCTAAATACCCCATACTCTATCTACTTAAGGGGGGCTAGAACCGTGAGGCTGGTCGGGATGTACTATGACTTCGACTGGAAGGATGCGCCACTGGCATCCTACAGCACTCCAGTCATAACTGGTAGCTCCCTGAGTTCTCGCGTGAAAGGGTTAAGGGTTCAGGGCCCTAAACCCTAAACCCTATATTCAGGGTTTAGGGATGATGAGCACAGCAATGCTAGGAATTGCAGCAATTCTGGGGGGGATCAGCCATAATTCAGACCATTGTGATAAGAGTTTCTTAGATGCTTCGCAGCAAAGAACCGCTATGATGGGCAGAATCGTTCCTAACGGCGCCTTTGCTCTAAAATAGGAGAGCGCCACGGAAGATGTGTCAATCAAGCGGTTTAGGGTTTAGGGTTGGGAGTACCGTGCTATTGGCCTACCGCATCCGGTGGAAGTTCTACAGCCAAACTAGTAGAATCCCATTCGGTGTAAGATGAGTAGCACGTTAAGAGTCCAAAGGCCTTGAATTTGTAAGCATTTGTCGGTTTGCATAAATTATGGCTACTTGGATAAGAGTATCTAGAGTCCTTAAACATGAGTATTACTGACACAGGAGTGTTTTGTAACATACCTGACTGACTATAGTCCCCCTTAAGTAGATGGAATACGGCTTTGGGCATATGATAATAAGATGCCCATATACCCTAATCCCAGAATCCTATAAGACATCACCAGCACGAAAGTTTCGACATGCCGAGGTACATGTTGCTCCCGTATTTTAACGCGGAGAGATTTCCAGGGCAGAAGGTACAGTTCCCGGCAGAGAGCCTGTACTAGGAGTCTACGAGGGAAAGGGGCTGCCCTTGCCGTGCACATTGCGTTGTCAGCCCGCGTGGCGAACTTTTGCCCTACCGCAGTAAGATCCCCATATACCCCATATTCTATCCACTTAAGGGGGACTATAGCTTGCAACAGGAAAGTGGGCTATAAGGATCCCCTCTTCATGTTCCCCGTGTATTTTGGGAGGTACTTTAGGTTTAAGGGTTAGGGGTTTAGGGCTTAGGGCTTAGGGCAACTCCCTTGACCCTACAAGGTTTTACATCCCCTGGACTATGTGTGCAAGTTCTTCAAGAGGAGCTGAATGAATTTGTATTTTCCCAAAATCATTGCTCTTCACGACCCCTATGCTACACGAAGCTCTAAACCCTGAACCCTAGAGTAGTTTTCATTTTCTTTTCCATTACCCCAATATATCCGCAATATAACCCTAATATTACACTCTCTGCACCATACCCATAGACATCTGGGGTTCCTTGTCATGCCCTATCTTGGGAAACCGCAAATGCTGCGCAAGTAGAGCAGTACCCAGGGATATGGGAGGTTGTCAAACTTTTCGTGCCTCTTTGGGTATCCCACATAATAGTGATATTGGGAACCCAGAAAGGGACCTCATTTTAGCAACCCCGTCTGTGTGGATTGCAGTAGGATTATGAGCATCCGATAAGATATTGTGGGGGTGTATTGAGAAACATACATGTGTGTCTGCAGTTTAGGGTTAGGGGTTTAGGACACGGAAGAAGATCATTTTCCCAACGAAGCCTTAAAGTTCAGACAAGCGAAAAGGATCCAACAAGCACCCGGGCTACCATAGTGATCATTTTAAAGATACCCTCCCACTCCCAACAATATGGCATAATCGCCACACAAATCCAGTATTGCCTGTATAGCTGCACCTTAAACACTAAAGCCCAAACCCCGAAGCCTGAACCCTGAACCCAAGTGAAGCATTTCGAGGCTGTCTCTACCTGCTGATGGTGGTGTTGCTACCTCGATGTGTGCTGCTCCCAAGACTTTTCGTCATTGGTGGAAATGTCATGATCCAATAGCTTCAATTAATTCCCATTCAGGGTTTAGGGTCTACAGTAGTTGTATTCTGAACTCCTTATAGGGGTTATTTAGGGGATTATATAGGGGAGTACTATAGGGGTCATTAAGGGTGATACTAGAGGTTAGACTATAGGTCATGTAGTGTATGCAGGCATTAGGTCACAACGGGATTTCGATGGGCATTTGTGTCCTCGCGGGTGTCTCAGCTCAGGCTATCTGCTTAAGTACAGGAACGACTTGAACGAGCAGATTGACCCTAAACCCTATACCTCTAGACCCAACGTGGAGTAGGGGTTGTTTCTTTTCGTTGCGCGGGATGCGGATTGAAGTCGCCTCACTTGGTCAGACAGCCAAGAAACAAGAATGACAACAAGAAGAACAGTACTATTGCTCATAATAGCAAGAATAATAATAACATACTAATACATCAAAACTATTGGCGCGGTCTTGGATCGCTGTTACAAGAACGACTTGGATGATCTTTTTGCCTGCGCTGGGGTGACCCCACTCGTGCGAAGCGCTCAAACCGTTGCATGAATGAGGTCCCTGAAGGGGGGTTCAAACTGGACAAGACCTTGGTGATCCACAACTTCATGCTGAGCCCAGCCCTCATCTGGACATATTTAGAACACATAGTAGTTATATCCGGTGTATATGGATACATACAAGGGTTTTGAGGGGCATAGTTTCAACTTAGCGCGACCCAGAGCTGTACCCTCAGGTTCTGAAACCTTAGCTCTTGTTTGCACAAAAGTGAGGGTCAATTTTTGCACCCTCCTAGCTAAATTCCGACATAAACTTGCCATTTTGCCAGCCTGCATAGCTTGATGGGTATGTCCGAGCCTCAAAGCTGGTCCTCACGTGTTTGCGTCCGATGTTTCCTATATCTTCACATGGGTACCACTATGGATTGTCGTGGTTTTTGATTTCCCCTAAATCTGGGAGGCCACGTTTGCAACGCATGTGGGTGAGCATTCTCACAAGTAGCGCTACATAATAGATCCTGCAAAGCCTTGTTGAGTTTTTTTTGGTAGGAAGCGAACGCTGCCCATAGGATTCGGGGCACAAGCCCGAACTTCTCAACATTAAGCTGCAAGGCTGTGAGCCTTACAGTTCTAAACCGCAGACCCTACGCTCAACCCCAAATCCTATATGGGAATTTCTCCAAGTTAGGGGTACCGTTTTGGGTACCCATAATTAGCATTTTGTGGTCTATATTGGGGTCCCCCTATTTTGGGAAACTACCATATAAACCCCAGTATTATACCCTATAGAACCCATTATAGTAGTTTCCATTTTATTTTCCATTATCCCAATATAAACCCCACTATTATACCCTTTATATTGGGAAACTTGGACCATATCCTGCTCAGAGGCTTCATGTCCTTGATCCTCTGTTTGGGCTGCGCCTTCGAGATGTTTCAGCGAGCCAGACATGAGGGCAGCGTAGAGTGGATGCCTGGCCCTCTGCTCTTGGTATGGGTGCGGGATTTAGGGTTTAGGGTTCATATCTGCAGCGTGACCTTGGATTCTGGGCGTCGAGATTTGGAGAGATTTCGAGTCTTTGAGTTAGGTGGATTCCAAAGGTCTGATGAGGTGCCAGCGATCTAGGAAGCAGCTGGGAAAAGCAAGGGCAATGTGAAGCCTGAACAAGTCTTCATTCAGTTTATGAGACTGGCGTGAGGTTTGGTGGATGGTTCAGTCGATAGGTTGGGCTTGACTGGATGATGTGAACAGGATGGTGTGAGTCGATGTGAAGAGGTTGTTCTAGGGTTGTCGTGAGGTCGGCGTGATGAGCTCTATGGCTCTACTTTGTACTAAAGCTCATATGTTTCAAGGCACGGCTAGCGGGAGCTGCCACCTCATGTTGAAATCGTGTTGGTGCGTGGATCCTCCTTTTAATTTGGCGCGCAACTGACGACCCTGTAAGTGATCGGGGCGTGTCGGAGCGCTGGCGTGTGGAGCGTCCTCGCAAGTTTATGTACAAGTGACGACCTTCTCCGTGTTTGGGGCATGTCGGAGCGCTGGCGCGTGAAGCCTGCTCGAAATTTGTTGTGCATGTGAGGACCCTCACACTGCATGCGGTTGTGATTATGTGGAAGTGTAGCAGGAGCTGATAGTTTCGAGCAGTTACGTTTGGAAAGTTGGAGTTGGCGGTAGTGCTTTTCTGAGTTTCGCTACGAAGGAGCGATTGATGTCGAAGAATGGAGTGATCTAGCATGGAATGATTTTTTTATGATTTTCTTGTCCGGTTGTCGTACTGTCTCGAATGGATCTTCGCTATTGATAATGTCTCCCTCTTCCAAACGCTTTCACGACAACTGTTCTTTAGTTTATGATATATTCGCAGTTTCAGGGGTTGGGGCAACATTATTCTTAGTGGTGGGAGAGAAGATGCATTATGGCGGGAGGAACGTTGTAGCAAGGCGTGGGGTATGTTCCATAGAGCTACGGTGGATACTAAAGATCCCTCATGATACTAAGTATCTTAATCCTTGGGAATTGTGGTGCCATAGGTATGCAAAAGTCATGCAGGGTTTTGAGTATCAACAGTAGGTAGGGAACGCCTAAGTTCTGAGTGAGTTCACAACAAATCTACCTGATCGCGGAGAGCTTTCGCGGGCTGCTCCAGCTGAAGAGGGTTTAGGGCTGGAAAAGCCCTATATCCTAAACCCTCAGTGTGAGTCAGAATAGGGATCATTTACTAGGATCTCAGGTTGATCCACTGGCCGGATTTTACGGGTGTCAACACTGTTTTTCCAGATGTCAGCTATAGTCTAAACTCCTGGAAGGAGTTTTTTGAGGGATCATATAGGGGACTATTATAGGGGTTATTAAGGGGGATACTAGGAGTTTAGACAATAGCTCATGTGGTATTGGTTTACACGCCAGTTGCGGACAGGGATTCTTGTGGCCCTAAACAGTAAATCTAAACTTCAAGCTCTACACTCATGACGCAGTTTCAGGGTTCCCGTCGGAGTGCACGGCTGTGGTCAACATAAAGCATATAGATAGAGAGAGCCCGGCGCTTGTGCAGGTCTTTCGTCTCGTACTTGTATCGGTTTTTGGGCCGGTAGGGATGTGGCTTATGATGAATGTCACAACGCGCTCACTTCAAACCTGGCCTTATTTTCCTCATTACAATGAAGACACCCGCGCCAAAAGATTGCCATAGGAAGAAGCTCACAGACACTTCTTGCATTGCAGATTGCTAACTTTCATGCAGAAAAATGGGTTTCAGACACCCGTGGCCCCCAACTATGAATACTCAAGCGTTAAACTTTATTCCACATTTCACCGACTTTGGGTGGGGGGGCAGAAGGTTTTGCGAAAGCACGTCCACATCTGCCCGCGGTGCAAGACTTGGATGAACAGAGTCTTTCAAGCTTTCTGGACCGGTTTTCATGTGTCTAGGGTTAAGGGCTTGGGACCTTTTTGGGCGGGCCCTCCACCCTTAGGACCCATCTCTCTTGTTTGGGACCTCCTTAAAGTGGTTTGTTTGCTCTCTCCCGAGCTATTCTTACCTGGTTAGCTAGGAATCAAGCAATCATCCTTCACTAGTCCCTATATAACTCATTATAGTAGTTTCCGTTTTCTGTTCCGGTCCGTCATTCCCAGCTAACCAAAGGTAAGCAGCTTCGATTTTTAGGGTTTAGATTTTAGGGTCTCAGGATTTGAGGTTTAGGGTTTCAGGGTTTGTTGATACATTTTTTGGAGCTTGTTCCATCCCTAAAGGAATTCTTTGACAAGTGGATGGGGAAGATGGCTACACATCGTTCCAAGCTATCTCTACGAAATCTGTACAGGTGAAACCTGTGATAGGGACTGGCGGGATGCAAAGAAGGCGGAATTTGATGCGACCAAAGGTACTGAGTTTGCTTGGGTCCCTGAGACCCATCATCCTAGATTTTTCAGACCAGATGAGTGATCATCTTGCAGTTTCTGCAAGTTAGAACAGACAGTACACTGAAGAGCTAGGGATTCGAGACAGTAAGGTTCTGGATGAGGTACGTCTATGCGTTCCTCAGATGCTACCACGTTTGATGTCAACAGCCGTATGTGCGCCATGACCCCTCGAATGTTACTGTGACAAACCAGGCTCCGTGTATGTTAGCTCCAAATGAGCTATAGTCTAAACTCCTAGTATCCCCCTTAATATCCCCCCCATACTACTCCCCCATATAACCCCCTTTAAGGAGTTTAGATTCTAGCTCCGCATGATAAAGCGTCTTGGTCGGAGCATCTGAGGGGCTACTTTGATTCTCATTGCCCATGTTCCATTGACTGGGTAGGCCCCTGAAATATTTAATATTTTCCCTAATGGCTTTAATAAGGGACCCTATATACTAATGTTTTTCAAAGGGCTTTAGGGGCCAACCAGTTGAAATCTTCTATTCTTGTTGTCATCTTATGTGGGTGTTTCCCTGAGTTAGGGATACCTTTGTGGGGGTCCCCATAGTATTTTGGGGTCTATATTGGGGTCCCCCAATTAGGCAAACTGCCATGGGCCGACAACAACGTCCATGATCCTTCACCTCCTCATCATCACCCTCTTGTGGTCATTGGTGGCGCTAGAACATTGTGAAGTCTGTTGAGTTGTCCTACTTATACCGGCAGGAGTACATCAAGTACAGCAAGTTCGTGTTTGTCATGACTGCCTTGCATGACTGCATACTGGGTTGCTGTTAAGGAACGTAAATTAAGTTACCATAATGGATATATACAGATATGGTAAGTAATGTGGTTTCCCCAATATAGTAACTTAAAGAAAGTTCCTTAACAGCAACCCGGCTCAGATGAGGCCCGCTCTATTTCTGGTCTTGGGCCTTCTATGCCCAGCGCTCGGAAGTGCAGTCCACCCCGACAGAACAGCAGCTGGGTTGCTGTTGAGGAACTTAGTTTAAGTTACTATATTGGGGAAAGTACATTTATTACTATATATATACCCATGATGGTAATTTAGTTTATGTTCATTAACAGCAACCCAGGCAGCGGAGGGGGTAAGAGGGTAGCCGTAGTACCGCGGCCGACAGGTTAGGTGACCTGTAGTAGGAGCAAGAGAGGTACAGCTGCAGGTTGTCAGGGACTGTTCTCAGAAAGCTTTGTGTTGCCGCTTTCGTCGTCATCGTCGTCTTCGTCGTCTTGGTTGTGGCCGTCCTCGTCCTCCAGTGGGTTGTCAAGATTATGATTATGGTCAATCTTTTTGGGGCTCTTGGTATAACGCAGCCCTGAGGGTGCCAAACAAACTGAAAGAATAAGTTGACAACCATGAGTCTGCTTTTACATCCTTGTCCTCACCCTGGGACTGCGAGCAAACATTCCGCTGGAAGCTTCTATTTTGGTACATACGTACATACGTACATGCGTACATGCCTGCATGCGTACATGCTTAAATGCGTACATGCCCACCTGCGTACATGCGTACATACGTACATCCGTACCTACGTGCATACGTACATACATACGTACATACGTGCAGAAGTACATATGTACATACGTACATACCTACATGCTCACATACCTACATGCGTACATGTGTACATACGTACATACAGGATACACATCGTACGTACGTGCATTTCTAGGGACCGTCGTGTAGTTGCCATTATCCTTTGTGGTTGCTGCCAGTTGGTTGGGGAGACGTCTAAGAAACCCCCAAGCTCTTTCGAGACCTACTTGAACCGCTTGGTATCCAGAAAGTGCTACATGTTTGGAGTACAACTTTCCGAACAGTAGTGTGTCGAAGCCTGCCATAGACGCATGCGTAACCCACGCTTTTGCTCATCATCTGATTGGTGCTTAAGGGAGCGTGGGGGAGTGGATCCTTCTCATAATCCCTATGATACCAGGTATATGTTCTAAACCCTAAGCCCTGAAGCACCAGTAAGATGAGCTTGGCGAGGCTAGCAAGTATTACGAGCTGGTGGACACACTATTGGCTCTTCTGCGAGCTTCAAAGTCTTGCCCTGAGAATTTCTGGCTTGCTGTTACGGGACTTAAGTGCAGTTACCGTAATATGGGTATATAGGTTTTAGGGTTTAGGTCGCCATAACATGGGCATATCGTAAATACTAGGGTTTCAATGGTGGAGTTCAGGGCGAATGTTGATCCCTTGTTGCTCGCAGTCTGGAGTTTGACATTCAGGGATAAGGGCAAGGTGGTTTCGTTTCTCTGCTCCGGCTGGAGCTCTCTGCATACGGTTTAGGGTTTAGGATTTAGGGTTTAGTGTTTTGGGTTTAGGGTTTAGGTTTGTCATTTTATTTGGGCCCCCCGGAATGTTGAAATCCGTTCTCACGAAGCAATTTCCAACCTTATCCCCGTATCGTCCTGTTGTAGTCGTGCGATAATATGTCCCAGAATTTTCCTCCAATCATTGAATTGGGCCCCTACAGTGCAAACATCTCTTGATGCTCCTAGACATCATTTCATTTACCATTTTCCTGTCGGTTTGGTTCTCCATTATTGGGGGTAATGTATGCCCATACCGGACCCTATATTATATATCCCTATTCACTCCTCCTAACCAACCCTAAAAGGTAAACTCTAAACCCTTAATGATCCAGGCCCTAATTGTCCGTTTGGCGACTTTAGGGCTCAGACAGCCCAGGTTCCTCCATCATGAGACCATTCATGTGAGGTATCTTTTGGGTAATCCTACTTACAGTAGCAGTTACCACAATGGATCATGGGAGTGATAAAAATCCCTTAATAAGAACCCTTTAAGGACAGTTGTTGTAAGGGGGAGTGACTTAAGGTATTTTTCATTTTCTGTTTCTAACTGGTGTTGTTTGGCGTGTGTGTATAGAGTTCCAAATATAGGTGTGAATGTGTACTTATTTGGTGTCCAAGTTGAGGGACCATAAGTTTAATTCTTAATCGATGCAGGAACCTGAAGAAGCCTAAGGGCATAAGGACTATAAGAAGATACTACAGGTCAGTATTAAGCGCAACCGCATTTTGGGAAACATGGATTGGCTGTGGTGCAGGGAGGTCGGCCGTCTCTGCCTCTGGAAGTCGAGAGAACTTTACCTTAGGAGGACCCCCCACCTGTACTAGTGGTATATTAGGAATACAAGAGGACCCTAATATAATCCGTATAATCCCTTATAGTCACTATTACTGGGTGAGGGGTCCACCTAAGGGATATCCCCAAAATGGGGCAGGAGGAAAATAGCCACTCAGAAAGCTACACAGAAAAGTGGGAGCAGGCCGCGCCGGCAGAAACACAGGAATGTGATGTGGAGTGCGACTCTCTTGTTTTCAGGTTCAGTGCTTCTCGTTCCGTTTCTGAAATGTGATGAATTCGTAAAGCCCAAATCTGGTTAGATGGGAACCCTCAGGGTTTAGGCTTTAGATGCATGACCCGAAGCCCCAAACATCAAACCCAACCTAAAAGACTTCCCTAGATGGTGAAAACTCGAACTTTGAGTAACTCAAAGGCCCTAATCTAGAAGCTAGGTCAATTGCCAATATGATTTCCTGGTCATCCTTCTTATGCTCTTGTATAATGCACGCCCAAAAACCCGCTTTAATTGTTTAGGCCCGTAAATGGCAATCTGTATGAAGCCCCGCACAAGCCCGGTGTCCATTTCATCTTATATTTGCCTTTCCATTTGGTTCTCCATGCTGTTAATGGCTCATTTTTACGCTATAAACCCTAAGCCTAAAAAATCCTATTGCCTGAAACCCTAAACCTTTAAGCCCTAAACCCTAAACCCCAAATAGTAGTTTCCATTTTCTTTTCCATGATCCCTATATAACCCCTATAGAACCCCTATAGTTCAACTCAAAAGCCGTAAGCCACCTCACTCACCCCCTGATAACAATTTTTTCCCAGAGTATGTAACTGCGCCAACCCCTGGGGGGAGGGCGTGTTATGAAGTTATGAACCCTTGTATAATGGTACAATAATCACCTATATAACACCCTTTAAGGAATTTAGACTATGTTTTTTTTGGGGGGTGGGGGTTCATATTGTGAATGGGAGGGGATACCGCAGGCCACCGCATTTCGGGCTTCACGTCTACCACCACGCCCTGGTTCCTGTTCCAGCCTCGTGCGCTTATAAGGGTTTAGGGATCAGGGTTTAGGGTTTTGGTTTAGGGTTTGGGGTTAGCTGTAGAACCGGTAATGGTACAAGAAAGAGTACAAGTAAGACTAAGAGTAATAGCAATAGTGTAGGAATGGCAATAGCAGTAAGAATTGTCATGGTCACAGTCATAGTCGCAGAATTCGTATTGTGACTGCTAGCAGTCGGATAACTACTGGTACCGCTACCGGTACTTCTACTGAGTACTGCTGATGTTGTCAATGGATGAAATACTGCATGATCCACATGACGCACGTTGCATTCAGAAATTTCTAGCTAATCCGAATGCATGCCATAGACATGCTGCAGCGAGTCCATTAGTAGGATTGCTCCATCCAGCTGGCATGTTTCTTGTATGAGTATATGTAACTTCCAAAACATAGTTGGTAACACCACTGTCATACACAATGGATGGTGTGCTTTTTATCCTTGGTGCTTTCAGGATCGGGACCAGATCACTATTCCCAGACAGTAAATCCCAAGCCCAAGGCTTCTCCCTAAGCAACATCCCAGACCCCCTTATGACCCTCATATAACTCCTATGTAAACCTTATATAAGTCCTATAGCAACCAAATGCAACCTCTCATGACTACGTTGGGGAACTTAGGGAATATTGGGGGGTTCCATTCTGTGGATCCTTTATGGGGTCTGAGATGGAACGGTATAGCCTCTACTAAGAAGGACAGTCTTTATACGGGCTTTTTTGGGCTTGCATTTTGGTTTTTGGGGAGTAGAAGCCGTATACCCTGATCCCTAGAGTCAATGCATCCCCGATGTCCCTATCTGTTCCACTACAAAATCCCGAAAGGGTCGGTTTTGGGGTTCCAACCTTAAGCCTTAAACCCTAAGCTCTAAACTGCGGTCGAGGTGATGGTCTGGAACTGGCTGGAGTATTGCACAACTCTTCAGCACATAGGCGGGCTAAGTCGCAGCTGCACAGACTGATTGATGTCAAGAGTACAAGAACGCAAGATAGGAGACTGAGTGAGTAATATAGCAGTTAGAGGGGAATGATATTGGTATTGATTGGGGCTTCTACCGTACGCTATGATAGCAGTGGTGCTGTGAGTTTTCCTATAGAGTTGAACTGCTACGAACACTCAACTTCATCGGAGTCATAGTGGAAGCGGCAATATACAGGGTTTCCCCAAGTCACGCGTTGTGTTGTGGAATCACCACTAAGAAGGATCTTGCAAGTTTGTTAGGTATATCCAAGGGGCTCTAGTCGTCTTTGTATGGTCCCTTTTGCGGCACCATGATAGTTTGACTTGAACCCCGAATCCTACACCCCCTTACCGATGATACCAAGAATCCCGCATGACTTCAGTATACTATAGTACCATAAATCGCAAGGTTTGGAGGTAGTTAGAGTCAGGAAGAACATTGACATCCGTTGTATAGATCCCAGCATATCCTTGCGACACCGACGATATATCCCCACATTTCCACATGCGTAGATCGGTCGTTCCCAAAAATAGGGTCCTATTTTGATACCCCATACATATTAGGTGCCGCAATATAATCTATAACTAAAACGGGCTCAGAATTTTGAGAACAATCCATATATATATATACACATTATATACATATGTATACATATGCGTCCCTATACCTAAAGCCCCCTGTTTGGGGTTCCGTGGCAGCCGTCATGGCCAGGGCTACTTTGGAACACCTTCGTGCACGTGGTCATGTATGCGTACTACGCCCTCAAGGCGCGGAAGGGGGGCCTAGGTATTTTAGGGGCCCAAATAACTACCTATATGTATAATTCTGGAAAAGGGTGACGCAAATTTTAACCAGACCTTCACATTATATTGTTAAAGGTTTAGGCCGCTGTGCTAGATACAGTATGGACCATGAGAGGATAATCTTGTGGATGGAGAGGACCTCGCGTGACCTCACTAGTATGTGGGGTTTTGAGTAGGCATGACAGAGTACTTCCTGCAACTCTGGGAGGTCTATCTACTGAAGGGTTGCAGGCTGTGATTGCAAACGTTGTGGTAAACAGAAGTCATTCCAGCTTGCTTTCGCACAGCCATCGGAACGCAATAGCAGACACTCATGTCTTTACTGCTGTCTTGGAATGTTTCACCCACTCCACACTGCCACCCTGAAAGTGGATGAGAGCCGTGTGCTTCCCCATCTACACGCCAGCTTGCCATCATTCACGTTACCATCCATTTGCGATTGTTGCTTGAAGGTTCATGAGTAGCTATAATTACTGGGACTCATCAGGATATCTGGAACCCCACTTTAACTGCCCATGAACAGTTCCCGAAGGATCGAGTATCAAATGGAAAATAAAAGGTAAGCTAGGATCATGTTGGGGTCCATCATGAGGGTTTAGGGTTTAGGGTATGCTATTTTCTGGGGCATGGTATTTACAAGAGAGCAGAATATTACTCGTCTCAGCCACCAAACAAACACTCCTCAATTCGCCATAATATGAACTATAGTCTACGTAAACTCCTTGTAAGGGATTATATAGGGGATTGTATAGGGAGAATTCTAGGGTTATTAAGGAGGATACTAGGAGTTTAGACTTAGCTCGTATGGGTTCAAATGAGCCCTGTATAATCCGTAAAGGCGGGCCTCTGTGATCCCTTTGCTTTCTCACTTCTCTCTGGGACTCTGGGATAAAGAAACCATCCTGTTCTGAGAAACCCTCATCAGTTTAGGTTTAGGGTTTACGGACTCATGAGTTTGATACATTACATAGCGAGTGTGTACGATATGGTATGGTCTGCCATCTATGGGTTTGAGACATCTTGATTTGGTAGGTTCCCAACAAAAGGAGACCTAATTACAGACCCTGCTACACTATAATCCTTACTATAGGGACCCAAAAAGGACCACCCCCAATTTTGGGAAATCCCCATTTGTACGCCTTCGCTATTTTGTGCATGTGGCCCAAGCCTTGTCACAACAAGCGCAGCAGAGTCAGACAATTTGAAGATTATATAGGATAGTATAGGAGTTTACCGGGATAGTATAGTGTACCATACTGTATATATATATATATATGGTTACATCGGGATATTATAGGATTATGTGGTCTCAACTCTAGGGTCCTTGGCTATAGTACCGGCCAAGGCACCACATGACCAAAAGGAAAGTGTGCATGCGCAGGTGTGCGCGTATGTTTGTGTGATCTTCATGGGCGCCATGGCAAGGGATCCAGTGAATGTGAGCATCCGCATCCAAATGGATGCAGCACAGAACTTCAGGTGGAACCTGGCACTGCGGTTTCCGAACTTTTGGACCATGAAGCTTTTAGGCTGCCAGCCGGTTACCGTGCTTGTTTGGCTAGTGAGACTGCAGAAATCCTGGAATCTGGCCACAAGGTGTGGGAATCTCAGGTCATGACCTTCGTCCGCTTCAAGAATGTCATTCCAGCCTGCAACAAGAGACCGTGCCAACGTAACGAACTGGTTTTCGTGCAAATCCCTGGGCAGACAGTTTGTGTCGAAGATAGAGCCTTCATGGGTTGTCGAACGCTCCAGGAAATCGAGATACCTACTTTCGTAACCAGAATTGAGCGGTGTGCCTTCCGTGGCTGCAGTGCCCTGCAACATGTGGGGATCCCTGATTCGGTGACTAGCACAGGGGAAGAAGCCTTCAGATTCTGCAACGCCTTGGAGAGCATCAAGATCCCCAACTCTGTAACCAGCATTTCAGGGGCCTTATTCGAGGGCTGCAGCGCGCTGACCCATGTGGAGATCCCCGAGTCGGTGACTAGCATTAGGGGAGTAGCTTTTGGACCGTGCAGTGCCTTGGAGAGCATCAAGATCCCCAACTCCGTGATCAGTATTCGGGGGAGTGCGTTTCGCAGCTGCAGTGCTCTGAAACATGTGGAGATCCCTGATTCGGTGACTATCATCAAGGAAGAAGTGAATGAATGGTGCAGCGTAATGGAGAGCATTCAGATCTCCAATTCGGTGAGCGTCAGCAAAATTGCTTTTGACGTGTGGCCGCTCATCAATTAGCACACTGGGTGTTTCTCTGGCACACATCATGGGTTAGATTTTCAGGAGCTACGTACTTTTCAAGGATAGCTGATTCTTGAACATAACTCCGAAGCCTGCACTCTCATGAAGGCGCGCTAGTGCAATGACAGACCAAAGACCCAAGAAGCTACATGCCTTTGTAGTCTATTTGTAGTAGATGCCTAGGTCCCACATGATACTGATCCTTTTTGGACGTCCCCTGTAACAGTACAATACACCCCTGAAACCAAGTTCAGGATATTCAAGAGAGCCTTAAACCCTAAAACCAATACCCTAAACCGGAAACCTTAAATCGTAGTTTCCATTTACTCCCCATTATGCCAATATAATCCCAAGAGACCAGAAGTTTGAGAACTACCCTTAATGCCGCTGGTGGGTGTGCACGGCAGGTGTTTGGACCACTGCAATAGCATTCCTCTGATTTGTTTCCTTGTGCATATCCTTTTTCAAATCAGTGCTGCGGATCCGCCTTATCTCGCTTCACTTGCAGGTGTATCTCCTGAATTCCCCCTTTACTTACCCTTGTTTCTTCTTAGTTCGAATTTATGGTTGATTGCCCCAAACACTAAACGAAACCCCGAGCCCTGAGACCCTCAAAGCCATCCAGCCCTAAACCCAAACGTAGGAGCCATCGGAGCTCCCGACTCCCCCTATATAGCCCCTATATTCCTTGTAGTTTCCATTTTATTTTCCATTACCCTAACCCTAAACATATAGGGACATAATAACCCCAATATAATCCTAATAAACCGTTTTCCGGTCTCCCAGTAGTGTTGTCATCAGGTACTGAAGGTGCCGACGCTGGGATCCTAGATCGAGATCTTGATTTTTCTGACTCAGAGCATACCATCCCTTTAGAATCCTTACGAGGAGTAAGGGGTTAGGCACCCAATCATCCTCCTCTGATCCAGATTTGGCCCTAGGGTACCTAATTTGGAAGGAGTAGCAAAGAACAGGGCGACTATTATCTGACTGGCGATTTTTGAGCTATGGGGATCCCTGCGTCCATGCCCTGGCGTTTAGGGTTTGGGGTGGCAGATGGATGAGGCCCTGGAAGAGCTGGGTAACGCGCCTGCAGATTGTCCAGTTTGTGACTAGCGGCGTCCTGCTGATGCCGGCGCTGTACTACATGTGGGACTGCGGGGCTTGGGACTTCGGGTTTCCAAGCAACAGGGGATTACAGGGGAATTAGGGGAATATGCGGCATCATGGGGGATAACAGGGGACTATAGGGGATTATAGGGGATTAATTTCATTCATTCTGGTTGCCAGAAGCCAAGTTGCTCGCTTTGACTTTACTTGACTTGCGAAATTCAAGGTCTGAGACTTCAGAAGAACCGTATACAGATACAAGGGATACGCGCTCGTGGTATATTAATGTAGGGTTCCAAAGAGCTACCACTATGCAGGTTTTTTTCTTTTGGTTGAGGGTACCTCAAGTAGACCTCAACATGATATTGGTAACTATTTTGTCCCATGCAGTACAGCGTTTGCAAAGCAATTCCTGAACCGCCGGGTTAGATTTTAGGCATGAAGCTTCCATTTGAGCCTGGAACTTATGTTCCATATCGTCCAGAGGGACTTGCATAGTCCCTGCATGTCTTGCATGCAGTTCTAGGAGTTCAGATCCTATGTAATTTTCCATAATGGAGTAGCTTCCGATCTCTTTTCCCTACACCCAATCCCTTAGACCTAACGCCAAAGCCTAGAGCCCTACACCCTAAGCCCGAAGGGGCAATTTCGACTTTCTTTTCAATTCCGTCGACCCTTAACCCAAAGCCCAAGCCCTAAAAAATCCCTAAACTTTAAACCCCAAGCCCCAAGCCTTGAAATCTAAGCCCTAAACCCTAAACCCTAACCCCCCCCTACCATGAGCCTGCAGGATGCACCCCTTGGGAACATCTGCGCGGGACAGAGGTCGATGTGGGCCAGATTCTAAGAGTAGGGCTTAGGGGTTTAGGGTTTGGGAGTTTAGGGTTTAGGAGTTTGGTGGTTTAGGGGTTTAGGGGTTTATGGTTTAGGGTTGAATGATTACCAATATGCTCGCCATAGCGGAGAGTCAAATGGACAAGAACATAAAACATAAAAAAGAAAGCTGGATTACTTGAACACCCTGGAAGCCACTACTTAATGTAGTGGTTTGTAGGGTGTTGAATGTGGAGGCCTGATGAAGTAACGATACTAGCCCGCAACAATCCTCATGGAAACTGTAAGATAATGTAGCCCAAAACCCTATTGAAAGTAAGGGGGGTAGGTGTAGGGTTTATACACCCTAAACCCTGAGGGTTTAAGGGACAAGTTTGAAGGTCCGTGGTTTCGTGTGTGCAGCCACTAAACCAACCTAGCCTATCCACAGGGAGAAAAGTCATCTTTCTTAAGCCCTAAGCCCTAAACCCGAATCTTCCATCTATTTTGTTTGGGAATTGGTTGCCTACTATTTGTTGCGCAGAGAGGGTAAGGCAAACAACTCAGTGATCTCTGACATACCGTTCCATGAAGTTCATGACACTTTACCCTTTATTTTTGATATCCAGTTCATCAAAGCTTTTCAACCCCCTGCGCCCTAAACCTGAAAACCCATTCAAGGTCAACCTCGCCTTCAATGCCACTCTTTTGTGGCAGTTCATCGGGGTGCTATTTACACCTGCCGGGAGCTGAAAGGGAACGCTTCTGAAATTGAGGTTATAGGTTTTGAGATTTAGGGCTAGCGAGAAGAAAGTCCAAGAAAGGTTGATGAGGTCCAAATGGGCACAGAAGGCAAAGTAGTTGATGGACGAGTCCTGAAAAGCAAAGATTCCCATACTACCGTCTTGGTTATGCTGTACGGCATGGAAAGTGGTACAAGGTTTCCTCCATGCACAGCCCGCGCGCCAAATACTTTGACTAGGCCTCTTGCCCAACTTTGGGCGTAAGCCTCCCATGCTCAGCCCCACATCTATTGTGGTAGCATATTGTAGTATATTGTAGCATATTGTACTATCTTGTAGTATACTGTAGTATATTGTAGTATACTGTAGTATCTTATAGTTTATTATAGTAGATTGTAGTATATCTTAGTAGTATGTTGTATTGTAGAGCCTTTGACGTCCCACCTAGAATGCTCTGCAGTGCACTCAACCCTACAGTCCCCCTTAAGTAAATAGAGCATGGCTTTGGGCATACTACAATAAGATCCTCATATACCCTATATTCTATCTACCTAAGGGGGATGATAAACCCCAAGCCCTGAACCCTTGTACTTCTTATGAACTGGATCTCCAGGTAATGGCATCTCCAATGCTGCTTTTGATGTATGCATGTTGGGGCAAAGGCCGTAACTGCTACAAAGGCCTTTTACTCTAAATCCCTAAAAACCAGAAGAGCCCTAAACCCTGAACTTTAAACCCTAAATCGGACTCGATACTCTCAGCGCTGAGCCCCGGAGCCCTAACTTAAAGGATCAGGGTAGCTATGACCAAATGATACGCTCATTGTGCTTGATCCACATGTAACCATATCGGGGGCATTAGGTTATAGATAGTGTCATAATTGGGTTGTAATTACGCTGAGCCCTAAGCCCTAAAACCCGAAAGATTGATTGTTCGGACAGCCCAACGGGATGAGGGGGTGTTACGAGCCATGCCCCTCCCCACCCGTTCGGCCCAACTGCCTCCTCCTCCACTTCCGCCGCCATGCAGTTTCCCAGACATTCACTTCTTCGCTGACGGCATATCTGGGGTTATACAGAGGTTATCTAGGAAGAATGGAAAAGAAAATGGAAGCTACTATTTGGGGCTTCGGGCTTAGGGGTGGTGTTTTACTTTCGTCTCCGCTGAACTGCGCCTGGTTACCCCGTCCGCTGCCTCCCCTAAACCCTAAACCCAGCACCCTAGATCCTCAGACCCCTCAGAACCGAAACCCTAAGCCCTAAACAGTAGTTCCATACCGGGTTCCCCAGTGACCATTATCTCCTCATCTGAAAAATTGTTGTTAAACTAGGCTCTAAGATCCCACAACCTTTGGCAGAACCCAGGCGCTCGTACGACCAACCAGCCCAGTACAACCTGGCCTTCCGTAAATACTACACCAATAGTGCTTTTACCCCCCCTTCGGCTACTCCGCTGACAGAAGAATTAGAGGTTTACACGGACGGATCAGGCTCCAAGGGCAAATGTTCGGCGCAAACACCTGCTGGATGGGGATATACGATCCTTGCAGATAACGAAGAAATCGAATATTCTTATGGTCCGGTAATAGTAGACCCCCTTTCCCCTTACCACTTTGGTGCGGAAGTAGGCAGCAATAATACTGGTGAACTGCAAGCGTGGATGGAGGCTGCTAGCTACCTGATATCCCATCCCCCCTCCCACGTAACATTCTTTTACGATAGTAAATGGATGG